CAGCTTTGCTACGCACGGTCGCTTCGAGATACGCCTCATGATTCATTCGGAATTTGGGGCCCGAGTAAATTTTTCATCGCGCGCCACGAAAGATAAGATCTTGTCGACGTCGCTATCGTGCGACGAACTCGATGCAAGCCGACTTCTTTCCGCAGGCGTAAGATAACGTATATGTTTTTCAGTGGGGTAAAGTAGGTAGGAGTGAGGACGGCTAACGTGTAACCCACATAGAATTTACGCAAATCCAATATTAGAACATTATCGACGTTTCCACACACACACACACACAAACACTCACACACAGTTGGCTACATATAGTGTCGCGATGTCTATTTGGAGAAATAATTATTGTCAATAAAATTATTGGACGACGATAATCGAATAGCGCGCGATAGCGCTCCAGGCACCACGACGATGCACTGATTTCGCTCCGTCATTATGCCTGTCCCACGCTAGAGAATTATGGAGCACGGTAATACCGTAATAAAATTTGCACCACACGCAAGTAATCGAGTACACGGCCCGTTTTCTGCATTACTCCTCAAGCTCTCTTCCGTGTACTTTTACGTGTACATATATTATATATATATATATATATATATATATACATACATATATACGATATCGATCACCGAAGTATTTTCTGTGTTACAATGATACACGTGACACATCTCTCCGTGACATTAATAGCCTTCGTTGATTAAGAAGATCGAAGAGGGGACACACACACATATATACAGAGTGTCCCACGTAAGACGTGCCAAAAAAAAAATATAAGTAGAACAGATAAAACTGAACAAAAATTGTAGAGATCATTTTTCAAACAACCACGTAAAATTTCGAGATATTAATAAAAATAGTTGGACAAATTAGAGCGCGGCGACGCGGCCGGCGAAAAAAATGAACGATTGCTCGCGGGTCTATCTTATAGGCCAGAGAGGTGGGTTGTTTGGCATACGGAAATGAGTAGCTCCGTGAGTGCGTACGTGTACGTGTGCGTTTGTCCATTTTCTTCGTCGGCCGCGGCGAGCCGTATGTCCCGCCTGTCGCGTCGCGCGCTCTTATTTGTCCAACTATTTTCATTAATATCTCGAAATTTTACGTGGTTGTTTGAAAAATGACCTCTACAATTGTTGTTCACTTTTATCTATTCTACTTTGCTATTGATATTTTTCTTTCGGCACGTCTTACGCGGGACACCCTGTATATGTATATATGTATGTATATAAAGCGCCATTGGGTGTACTTTCGTACATAAAGCGCGTACGCGAGTTTGATGTCTTATATATTCTTTTGCCTTTAGGATCTGTGAATTTATCGATCCATTCATTTGTACTGTTTATATTTCATTGCCTCGTGTCTGCTAGGAATTGGATTTTTTGCGCAACGAGGAGGTCTGTTTTACAACGGGAAAAATGTCTCGCGTGTTTGAAGCGCGTTGAGACGCGCAACTTGTTTCGCTCTTGGCTGTAACGAGCGAGACGGCATAACAACGAAAATAACATTGGTTTCTATGCGCGGTGTATGTGTGTGTATTTCTAGTAAAAATAAATTAGTAACATGGACGCTGCACCCGCGGCAAAGATCGATAATTGACCGCGAGGTAATATCCACTAAATTTCAGTTGTAAATGACGTTTTCTCTATAACGAATTTGGGGAATAATGCAATTTTTCCAACAATAATCCCGCAATTATAAACTATAATCATGACAAGTGAAATTTCCAAAAGAGATAATTATGCGTATAATGAGCTTTTGCATTTACCAGATATTCAATTGAAAATCATTCATTTCAATGCAGAGACTAAGAGACACAAAAACATTTTACATATACCCTTATAGAAATATCATACTAAGAATCATTGATAATTACTTATTTTCAGTATTAAAAATACTGGATAATAAGTAATTATCAATGATTCTTAGTATGATATTTCTATAAGGGTATTAAGATATAATTACACATTTCCAATTTGAATACCCGTTACGTTTAGAATTAAGTTGTATGCAATCCTCATATGGCACAAATGTAATGTGCTGTCGAAAAAACTAGATACGACATATACAGTGCGAATGTCCAAAATATATCTTAAAAACATCTCAGAGATATCACATATCTCTGGGACGTCTGTATTTTGAATATTTATGCTATATAGATCGTATCTAGATTCCTCGATATAATCAAGATATAAATGTGAAGCAAAGTAATTAGCGTCTATTTTAGAAATAGAGCAAGATGTTAAATATGACGGTCGCTTTTGTTCTCTGATTTCATTTGTCGACATTATTGCGTGTGTGTTACAGTTTTACCGAAAAAAGTAACACATATAGAAAATTATATATAAAGAAGGAAATTACTTAACGACATGTCCGTAGCCTGAAATGCGTATCAAAAAGAAGAAAATGCCATCAGCCATATTGACCAAACAATTTGTGACTTTAGAAATAGACTCGATCAAACGACTCCTTCGACTGCATAAACTGGAGAGGAAAGGACGTTGAACTTGCAGCTCCTGCAGATAGAGCGTAGCGACACTTGCCGCGTAAACAGCGCCACGGTGGTGATTTGACGCAGTAAAAGCGGCAAGTTGATTGGCTGTCGCGTGATAATAGAGGATCTCACCATTTCCAGCGTGTGATGTTCGATGTTCAATTGAGGAGAATTTATTCGCTGGGGACAAACATGTCGCCAACAGGAAAAAGCGAACTCTCTTGGATATCGAATCATCATACGTCAATGTTGAGAGTAGAGTGAATTCTCATGATTCACATCCTGTTTGCAAGAATATTAGCAGCCACCGGGGTATCTATTATGGACTTCTTTGGAATCAATTCCGATCGGAAACATTCAGTTATTTCCTAGATTTCTATTGTCTTTTCTAGGGGAAACGAAATTATTCCAATCGGAATTGATTCTGAAGAAGTCCATAATAGGTATCTAGGTCTTGGGTTCTGACCATGGACGTAAGAATACATGGACGGAGCGAATTGTCGCGGGGATGAAGCCCAAGGGGTGAGGGGAATGATTGTATGTATTGTAATGGAGTTGAATACCATGATGGCGACGGTCTCTGTTTTTATACATAGACAATAGATACAAAACTCCGACACCAACATGGCCGCGACGATGTAATCCTTTTAGGAGCACCGCACACGAATTGACATAACAGTAACATAAGACGTACCGTAAGAATTGACCAATCACTTTAAGTATCGTCGAACCGTAAGGTGACCATTTTTGTGAATACTCAATTGTAATTGGTCCATTTTTACGGTATGTCTTACGTTACTATTAGGTTTGTTCGAGTTAAGGCCATCACACACGAAATTCCGTAAGAACTTAAAACGTAAGCGTAAAGAAATCGACCAATCCCAATCGAGTACTCGGCTCTTCGTAACCCCTCCATTATTACGAAGAGCCGAATACTCGATTGGGATTGGTCGATTTCCTTACGCTTACGATTTAAATTTTTACGGAATTTTGTATGTGATGGCCTTAACTTGCCTTAACTGACCTTAATTATTCACACTTTTACACCTAATGCCCGTTGCACACTAGTACATCTCATACAACACAAATTTTTCAAAATACGTTCTGAAGATGCTTTTAGGACGGAGGGATGTCATCAGAATATTTTTAGGACGTCCTTTGAAGATGTGAGTTGTTTGAAAATAGCTAATATCCAATAAGTTTATTCGCATTAATTAAACTTTTTACACTTTCATACTTAGTGCACATTAATTCTTTAGAGGTTCTAAAAATGACGTCGATTTCCGTTCGTATTATGAGTGTAAATGCAATTCTAATACACTTTTTACACTTGATCCCAAGCAAGAGTGAAAAGTGTATCAGAATTGCATTTACACTCGTAACACGAACGGAAAACATGACGCCATTTTTAGAACCTCTAAAGAATTAATGTGCACTAAGTGTAAAAGTGTAAAAAGTTCAATTAATGCGAATAAACTTATTGGATATTAGTGTTACGTCCCGGTGGATTGCGGCCACACTGAAATAGTGAACCCTAGCACGGGATCAGATCGCAATTTTTCGGGCTAAACGAATCGCGTGATTCTACCCGGGGATCCGTGCGATCAAGGGTAATCGCGATGGATTTCGCGCAAGACACGTAATATAACCACCATAGTGTAACCTTACGATGGGTCGGACAGCCGCAGGCTTTAATCGTAGTTTCGCGCGTATAGAAATAATGTAGATAACGACTTATCAGTGGTCGTCCACCGTGCGGTTGCTCTCTGTACCCCTGAATGACGCTCTCGTGGCTTACATGGATCGGCATCTCCTGGACCTCTAGATGCTGCTGACTCTGGGGAACCCCTTACAAAGCGTAAATTGAAACATCGGAAGTAAGCGGGTACGTCTTAAAGTGCCTTTACATGGAAACGGTGGTAGCGATAAAATGCGCAGAAGAGCTTCCACACATAAACTGACATAACAGTAACGTAAGCGTACCATAAGAATTGACCAATTACAATCAAATATTCATAAAAATAGCGGCCTTACGATTCGACGATTGTCAACGTGATTGGTCAATTCTTATAGTACGTCTAAAGGCCAAATCACACTAGTGATTGGCGATTGACGATTGATAATTAAAGATTAGATTTTAACGAATCAACAAGCTTCAGCCTTGGCTTGCTTTGTTCCAATTGGTCAAGTTCCAATCTTCAATCGTCAATCAACAATCGCTAATCGCTAGTGTGATTTGGCCTTTACGTTATGACTCCTGCACACAGGACACGGTAATGCTTGCCGCGCGGCGGAAGTTCGTGCTACAGCCAATCAATATGTTGTTTTTCCGTAAGAGTTAGAAGATTATTATGGAAAGCAGCATATTGATTGGCTGTCGCGCGAACTTCCGGCGCGCGGCAAGCATTACCGCGTCCTGTGTGCAGGAGCCATTACTGTTATGTCAATTTGTGTGCGGGGCCCTAACGAATGTAGTAAAGGCGCACTTTGTTAGATGGCGTCGAAAATGCGTCTAGCTTTGACCACTAAAATCAAGTTGGTGGCTGCTCTCTTCTCTATGGTTCTGATTAAGCGACGTATATACAGCAGATACATGTCATATGCTTAATCAAAGTTGCAAAAATATTGCACGATAGTATACTCTTATACTTTATACAAGCTGAAATATTGCAAAAATTTTGACACATTGTAATATCGCATAGATTATCACAATGCAACTAACAATCCGTGGGCAAGAAACTACTGTTGTCGAGTGTCAAGGTGACGAGAAAATTCAACACGTGAAGGTATCGGTTCAATTACATTATCTTGATACCAGCTTATTATCTTGCCTTTAAACGACAATCTCTTCAAACGCATTAAAATGATAATCCGGTATTTGTTTTATAATGCTGGAAGGAGCACTAATGCAAAAGCAATATGTAAATTTATATAAGAGCAAAAGTGTGCAAACTTTCGCTTTCTAATAAATTTTCTACAAAATAATTTTAATAATAATCAAATTTTTATTATATATACAACAAGATTATATATAGATAGATAAAGGGCATGTTATGAGATATATCACATTTTTAATCCCTCATAGGAAAGAATTGCCTGTCTTCAAGGTTTACAAGCTGAATTTCATCTTTATTGCAATGGAGCTTTATTGCTAGATGAGACTCGTGTTAATGAACTCCCATTGGATACTCTTGAATTGACCGTACCATTATTAGGAGGTAAATTAATATACTACTGGAATACTATAAAATGTTGCGGATATATGGGAATTTATATAGCTGCTATTATTTTGATCTGTTAAATCTGTTTTATATATATATATATATATATATATATATATATATATATACTCCTGAATTATTTATAAAATTATACGTAGAAAGAAATCAACATCTGAATGATATTCTCTTTGTTTAGGAAAAGTTCATGGTTCTTTGGCACGTGCTGGGAAAGTAAAAGCACAAACACCAAAGGTAAAAGTCATTAAATTAAATATGCCTCTTAAGTTTATTGTTATATATATATATATGTGAATATTACACAACTATGTTAGAAATTTACAGAATTAGGAGTTACTTTTCAAAAGTAACTAGTTACAGTTACAGTTTCTTTTGCTGAAAATGTAACTAGTTACAATTGGCTATGAAAAGAAACTCGTTACAGTTACATTTTTTCGGTAACTTAATTACAGTTACTCAAAAAGTAACGAGTTACTTTTAAGTCATTATCTTGAAATGATTGTAAATTATTATTGTAAATACAAAAATCTTACATTTTAAGCTTTACTAAAATGTAAGAATTGAATTTTATAACTAATATCTATCATATAAATCAGTTAAACCACTTAACAAATTTCAAATCTGTACTTAATATAATACAAATTTAATGATAGCCTTTTAGAGGTAAAAGAATTTAATCACATGCTCCATAAATACGTTGATAAATTTCCCAGATAGCACAGAGAATTTAATGAGAATTCAGTTGTATATTATCAATTCTGAGTTTATTTTTAAATGTATACAGAATTCTTTTCACTAAACTAAACTCTGAAGAATTCTTTTTGCATCTGAAAATAAACTCAGAATTGGTGACATACGACTGGATTCTTTATTAATTCTTATTGAATTCTATTTGAATTCTATGCTATTTGGGTATATTAAATTAATATACAATTACTATATAATTTTAATTTTATTTTACGTTCCCCAAGTAACTATTAAAGTAACTGTTAAAAAAGTTACAAGTTACTAAAAATAAGTAACTAAGTTAAGTTACTATTACAGGTAGAAAAAATGTAACTAAGTTAAATTAGTTACTGAAAAAAATGTAATTGTAACTTTGTTACAAGTAACGAGTTATTTCCCAACCCTGGAAATTTTATAGCTCATACATGCAACGATAAATACAACAGAGTATAGAGATATCTTCATGTTTCTAATATCCTATTATGTGAAATTAATTGTATTTGTGATAAAATAATATTTGTATGTGCATATATACTATTTTTTTATTAATATATATATATATATTATTAGGTTGAGAAGCAAGAGAAGAGTAAGAAAAAGACTGGCCGTGCTAAACGACGTATACAGTACAACCGTAGGTTTGTCAATGTTGTTCAAACCTTTGGCCGCCGGCGTGGACCTAATGCTAACACAACCTCTTAAGAAATGTATATTGTACTATTACCTATTATTTAGGTACCTTCCGATAACCTAATCTAATCTAACCTTCTAAAATTATATTTATTAAGGTAAAATAAAAATGTCCATTTATTATAATAAAATCATATAACTAAAATATAAGCAGAAAGGTTTGAATATGGTCTTTCTTCAATGCATTTTGGATATTTGATGGTTTATTTTTTGAGAATTACACAAACTCAATTTTGCAATCACTATATTCGACAATAGTAGTACAATAGTATAACAAATAAAACGTTTCTATCAGTGTTCAATCGATATTTTGAAGCTGCGTCACAGAAAATACATGAAAAGGTGACTGAGATAAACAACCTTTTTCTTTTCTTTTGTTGTTTGTAAATAATATAAGTTTTTGAATTTATCGAGTCAGATCTTCTTTTCAGTAGTTGATCATTTGCTATATAAATCTATGCTATATATGGAATTATTGATGGCTTAGTAATCAGACAATCGTTTCTCATAGCTTGTCTCTTGCTTAACCTAACCTAACCTAACTTAAAGCCTTGCCTAACCTAACTTCAGCTAAAGTAACCAATCTAACCTCGATTTTGATCGTTTAAACGCGATAAAGTGAAATACCAGTTGTTTACAAGATTCTTGAATTTATACGGAAATAAGGATATAAGAAGGCAAGGCAAAAGAATAGAAAAGAAGAAGAAAGAAGCAGTAAAACTGTTGTCACAGGTACCAAAATATTAAATACGCAAATCAGAATCATCAAATGCCACAAATCAACCGTGTGATATATTTGTGCCCTTGAGATTTTGTGAAAATAATTCTGTTCCAGCTGATTTTATATGCATTTTTTAGATAAATAATTTGTGACGTTTGTCAAATAATAAAGCTTCAATATGGTTTGCGAGAAGTGTGCAAAGAAATTGGGCACAGTTATTACTCCAGATCCTTGGAAGGCAGGTGCAAGGAACACAGTGGAAAGTGGAGGTCGTAAAGTAGGAGAAAATAAAGCTCTTTCCTCAGGAAAAGCACGATTCACGCCATATACCACAAAATTTGAGACTTGTAGGATATGTAGACAGAAAGTTCATCAAGTGGGTTCCCATTATTGTCAGTCCTGTGCGTATAAGAAAGGTATATGTGCTATGTGTGGTAAAAGGCTGTTAAATATAAAGAATTATAAACAGTCAGCCACATAATTTTTTTTAAAGATGGAATACAAAATTCGAGACTAAGAATTCATTATACTAAGATATATTATATACGACTCAATTATACATCATTATTTAATATTATGAGCATAACATTATTTCCAACGCACAAATTTGTCAAAAAATTTCTTGTTTCCTTAAACATGTTTTATTAACTCCTTAACTTTGTAGTTATGGTTTATATATATGCGCCCTATATCTTGAAATATTATACTGAAACTATTAAAGAGTAGGTTTGCAAACAAAAGAATCGGTTAATGTTTTCTGTGATGACACTAAAAACATAAATACATAAGAGAAATATTATGAATTTGTGAAATAATATATCAATTATATATTATTTATTAAATTATTAGCAATCATTATATTAATAAAGTTAATATAATGAAACAAGTTTAATATATAATTGTATATGTTATAATGATAATTTAATTATAAAATGAACATAAACATCATCAACAGATTGCAAAACTTACTAATAAAAATATATAAATGACAATATTTTGATATGAAAAATATATAAGGATATTTATTTCTTAAGTATGTTTAGTTTAGATAAAAGAAAAAAATTAACATTTTAGTTTGTAACATAAAAGATATATGTATATATTTCTTAATAAAGTGTGTACAATTTATAATAATTTCTCACACAAAATACCTGTACAATCATAAACGTAATTCACCACAAGTATGTACATATACATTAACATATACATATAATATATACATATATGTTGCATTAACATATATATATACATTACACATAATGTGTTATTCTTATGTAGCTGAAATAAGAATTGATAAAATTAAATGTAAGATTTATAAATTGTAAGAGTATGTGTGTATCTGCTTTGTATAATGTGTTCCCTCTTTAATGGAACATTATATTTTTTTGTTAACACATTTAACACATGGATGTGTAAGACTATTTGGCATGATAATAGTTGACTTAGGTTTGGTTGAGTTTTTAAATTTCTATCAAATCTTCTCGATACAAAAGAATTTTTCCCTATAATAACTGCAATGGAAAACAATAATTATTATTTTGATGAAAATATACTTGTCGCGTTAAAAAAATATATATATGTATATTTACGATATATGTATTAACATTTATATCTAAAAAATATACATTTATTCGTTAAAATTTATACATTTTTCACTAACAAATATATGGACAAAAATATACCCCAATAAAATGATATACATATATATACATACATATATATATATATATATATATATATATATATATATATATATATATATATGTATGTGTGTGTAGTAGTAGTAGTAGTAGTAGTAGTAGAAATAAATTATATTACACATACAAGAGTAAGAAATTATAAACGTGTGGGAGAGAAAGACCTGACGACTGACTTACATCAGTTAACAATAACATCTCACTTTTGTTTAATTAGGTGTTAATAGTCGTATGTCCAGTAAAACATTTACAGCATATCGATGTCGATTGCATGTTTAAATAATGAAATATAAGGTGAGATTTTCCGTTGCTTTTCTTAAAAAAAAAAAAAGAAACCAGGTAAGTTAGGTAATAATAGAGAGAGAAAAGATACGGTAATCTAAAAGAGATAAATAAAGGTTTTAATATACAACTGAAAATGCACTCTTCTTTATATGTATCGTCGAGATTAAGATCTTGTCGGTATTATTTACTTGTCCATCAGTGCGCACAGAGCGAGTAATGTGATTATATATAAAACTTTATTAATTATTTCACACTCTTTGTGTGTCTCGCGCAGGAACGGTACCCGTGCATGTGATATTACACGTGCATGAGTAGAACATATATTTTACAAGCTACATTCACGTGAGTGCATATTAATGAGTTAATAACGAATTTCTTAGGGGCGATTTTTTAATAGCAGTTTAAATTTGGATTCAAGTTTAAACTCTTTTCTAACAATGCGTTTGTTTAAACAGAGTTTAAGTTGAAACCTAAGTTTAAACTATCATTGAAAAATCGGTCCTTAGACTCACAATTTACAAATTATCGTTTACACGCTAAATATACACGGAGTATTGTTACAACATATGTGTTATTTGATTACAGATCTTACCGACATCGAGATTAACATTTTATACTCATGAACTCATATGACATATATGAACATAATATTTAACATATAATATAAAACATTTTATAGTGGACTCATATGACATACTTTCTATTTAAGTAAAATAGAGGTTACAAATAACAGGATAATTTACATTTTTTGAAGTTTTCGCGAATTGAGAGTACGTGTTGTAGTCCTAAGATGCAATATCGTATGAATTCTTCAGTAAGCCTCCACGCGAATTTCACATGCATTCTTTAACCAAAATTTCGATCACTTGCTTAAATTTTTATACATTAACGACTTATTATTAAAGAAAATTTATACGGTATAACATCTTAGAGTTACAACAGATGTATATATGCAACTCTATTCCACTGCGTATCTAGCATTAAATGTGCTCGTCACATTCCGAGCTATGATTCTATGTGATATAATAATGTCCAATCTACTTTAAAAAGAATGGTAAAATCACATTTAATGCAAAATACGCAAAATAACACAAAATACGAGGACACGGATATATAAAAGCAACGATGGAAAGAACCTATATAATATATACGCGTGCGACAAAGAAGTAATGATTCAAATGATTCAGTTAAAAATTATTTTGATTCAAAGTAGGAAGAGAGAAAAATGTTACCTCAATATGAAACATGCGATATCTTTGATATCGTAGGGGATAATTACTAATAGTAATGATTACACGAATCCAAACTACACTGGCCTATATTTACATACAATTACAATCATAAGAGTGAATGTGTACAATTTTCAAGATTACTCGATTGATTCGACAAGATCAGTTTACGATCATAATACAAACAGTGCCGCAGTTCGGCTTCCATACAAATCATTCCTGCCCATCGTAGTCACTCTTTATGGCACGTAGTCTCTCAAGCATTCTTGCGATCGTCTCTCGTGTGCTCTCACATGATATATATCCTCGATTAATCTCTCGCATCGTTTCCGCCAAGACTGATTTTAGAGGGAGTGTGTCAGGAGTGCACGAGTTCCTAAGTGACAATTATCGAGGCGACACTAATTCGTGAAATAAAAGATACAAAATGTTACGATTATACTATCATAACACAGTTATGATTTGGCTCGATTCCCGAGGAATCTCTCATAAAAAACGATTCACTTCTTCCAAAGAAGCTCTGGACCCGTATTACGTTGCTTAACACGCCGACTGCCACGCTAATTTCTATTACTTATCTCAATTGAAGTTCAAAAGATGGTGAATTCAAAGATATGGTGAATAATCTTCTCTCTTTCAATTCATACAATTTGTTATTTAATTCGTCATACATGTAATTGATCATATTTGAAATATAAATGAGTGAAACGCGGCATCGGTCACCGGTGACCTCCACGGCAGTCTGCGTACGAACCAATAGATCTTGAAAGTCAATTTGACATTCGTGAGACATCATAACGTTGTAATCGTTCAATTAGAGGGGGAGGGGAGGAGTCTGTAGTTAGTCGCAAAACGTGAGCAAACTAGGGACAGTACTCCTCCAAGTGTCAACATGATAATATCGTTCTGCGAACTCGCGATTCCAGAGAAGCTATCGTGTTCTTAACAACGTCACTCGAAATCAGATGACGAATACTCTAGTTCGCATCGTCCCTCGATGACAGGACGATGTTCGTCACTGGCTGCGGTTGACCGGCAGCGGCGGCGCTCCAGCGACTTTGCTCTTTGTCGGCCACGAAGATCCAATGCTCGAACTTTTTCCCGGCGTTCTCCGACTGCTTCATCTCCGACGGTTGCGCGTCCAAGATCTGCGGGCCCTTAGCCGCGTTCGCCGACTTGTACTCGGACACGTAGACGACATGCTTGTCGCTCGTTCGCTCGTCCCTCGGGCTCTTCGCGATGTCCGATCGCCTTGGGGGTACTGGTGGCTTTTTGCCGGATATGGGCTTACCGTTGGACGTTACCTTGATGTCTCGTTGCACCAGTGACTTCCGTGACTCGCTACCGTTGCTGCTCTCCGTAGTACTGGTGATAGTGCTGGTGGTCATCTCTTCGTTCTCGTTGTCGGCTTCGCGAACGCCTTCCCTATTGGACGAAACCTTGATCTCCGTAATGTAGGTCGCCTTCTGGCTGGCGTTCGGCGACGACGAGGACGAACGGTGTTCCGAGTCCCGTGGATGATAGTCCATCGACTCTCTCACCAAACCGCTGTCCTCGCTGTTCTCGCCGCTCGACACGCTGACGTTGCTGACGTTGCTGGCGTTGCGACGGTCTTCTTCCTTTGGCGAGAACAGATTCCTGTTGTTCGTCCTTAACCCCGCGCCTCCGCCGAACTCGTATTCGTCCTCGTCCTCCACCACGTCGTCCTCGTTCCCGTCGCGATTACCGCTCTCGTTCTCGGAGATGTTGATCACGCGTCTGGCGAAGTGCGTATCGAACGTGACATCGGTTAGCGACTTGGACTTGGTCGCCGACGAGTTCCTGTCGTGTTCCGCCGTTCGCTGCTCGAACTTGGTCCGGTGCGCTTGAAACGTGGAGAAGGCACCTCCGTTCTTGTCCGCGTTTTCTTCCCACGGATCCTCCCTAGACTTCTGTCTGTTGATTCCTTCCGCTTTTGACGCGTGAACTCGCAGATGCGTCGGTGTAGACGTCCGTTCCGTTTCTCTTTCCGCGTTCTCTCTCGCGGACGACGAGTCCGTCGACGTCGCGCTGCCTACCGATGTTCGCGTAGGAGTCGCACGACGTTGTCCATTGACCTTCTCGCGGTCGCAATCGACGCTGTGTCGAGCGCATCTGTCATGACAGCCGCGGCAACCCCTCTCCACGATCACCTTCGACATCGGCTCTTCCGCGGCCAGTTGTTTACCAGAGTAGAGCGATGCATCGTTCACCATGGGTGCTCTCTCCTCTTTCCAGTCTTCCGATCGCGATAGGCTGACCCTCGTTGACTCGGAGGACGGCGTCGGAGACGCGCTCGCGTGCATCTCGAAGTAGCGCAACGCGCGGCTGAAGTCTTCCGACTTCTCCGACACGCCACTCTCCGGCGCTCCGTTCCCGATTTCTTCTCCACGTTTCTCCCCTTCAACCGACCGTACCTCATCGGCCAACTGGAAGTTCAATTCCACTTCCTCCGGCGTCGGGCTCTTCACAACTTCGCCGTCGTTCACGATTCTCGCCAAGGAGTTATCCGCGTCCGGATTGAACGCCCGTTCCGCGTGAATAAACTCCTGAGTCAGTCTCTTGCTCAACGGCAAGTTGTACAGCTCGATGCTGACCTCGCGATCCGAATTATCGTCATCGTCATCCACGTCGACTTGTTTTTCGACCGCTACTGTTGTCGCAGGGACTTCATCCTTCAGTTTGATCTCCACCGCGGACTTGGAGCGTTCTAAGGTACCGTTGCTCCTCTTCCTCGTCCGCGTATTCTTCGTCTTCTCATCCGCCTCGGCGGAGGCGACGGTATTCTCGCTCCAGATCACATCCTCTAGAGTGCCCCACTCGTTGGACTTCTTCAGCTTCCGCCGGTCGAACGTGTCGATTTGGTCGAGCCTGGTGAGGTCCTCCGTGGACTCGTTGATGTCCTCCGGCGGCAACGGCGCCTTGCGCTTCTTCGCGCTGGTGTCGGCGGTCATGTCGAGACTTTGTGCTCTCTCCAAGGTCGCGGCAGTCTTGCTCTCGTACTTAGAGAGATCACCCAAGCTGGCCGCTTTCCTATACATGTCGTCCTCGTCCTCCTCGTCGTCGTTTGCCTCCGGCACCGGCGTACGATGAATCGTAATGTCCGCCGGATTCAGCTCGATCGTCGTGAAGCTGTTCTGCATCTCGCTGTCGGTATCCGATTCGGAGTTCCGTCTGTTCGCCATCGACTGGCTCTCCAGACGGTGTTGCCGGTCCGCCGCACCATTATCGCGCACCTTGCTCACGTAGTTGCATAACGACTCCGTGTAATCGGCGATGCTGTCGATGGTGTCGATCATTGCGTCCTTTTTCGCAGTCGGCGCAGCCTCAACGGTATTTTTCGGAGGCGCGGGCGCCTTCCGCTTGTTCTTCTGCGGACTCTTGGCGCCCTCCGACTCCAACGAGCTGGTCTTGAGCGTCTCCGGATAACTCTTGCGATTTCTGCGCGCCGCCATGGCCGCGTTGTGCACCTCCGCCGGCACCTCGGACGGTATGTTGATCGTCTCGCTCGTGTTCTTGCCACTGTCTTTGTCCGACTCGTCGACGTTCCGTTCAACGGCGATTCTCGTCGGATCATCACGTTGTTGGAAGGATTCATTGTAGATCTTCCTGTCGTCCGACGGCGTGTCGCTCGACGTCGTGGAGTGGCGATTCGCCACCAGCAGTTTCTCCGCGTCCATCTTTCGCGAGTGTCTTCTCTCCAGATTCGTGTTGTGCTCGTTTTGATTTTCGATACGGTGCACGGTGCCGTCGAGCGCCGGCAGCACTTTGATACCGAACTTGTGGTGATGATTGTTCTTCGTCTCGTCGTGACGCCTCTCAAGGCTCTGGTTGCTGGCGGGAGTCGACTTGGACGACTTTTGAGTCGAGTTCATCGTCGAGTAGTTGGAACCCACGGAGTCGTTCGGATCGGCCATGAAGAGTCGCTTCGCCACGCTCTTGTGGGCCTGTGAGAGCTCCGGAATCGATTGGCTCCTGTAGAGAGGATGGCATATCCTCGTCGAGCTGGGACCGACGCTCTTCTTCAGCAGCGTCGTCGGCTTCGAGCCGTTGCCGCCGCTCTCGACCTCCAGCTCCACGTCGTATGGCGAGGCGTAGCTCAGGATCGTCAGCGCGTCCTCGTATACCATATTGCGGAAGCTGATCTTCACGCTGGAGATACGGTCGCCTGCGGAAGAAAGAGAACGCTCAATTGTAGCTCGATCAATGCGATTTTGGAAAATGATTAGGTTCCGGATTTGTGTTCTGGGTCACTATTTTGTATGGGAATATTGTAATATCAATTGTAGTATTTTCTGGTTAAAGGATTATTTATTGCCCCATTTTTTCAATCTATTAGTCAAGTCGGTAAGTTTCCACAGGTCAGAATTCTATAGAAATCCACTACCTCAACTTGATACCACTTTTTATTCTTTAAAGATCTGAGATAGAAATCACTATAATTTACCATAACTGGAGCATCGATATCATAGTACGGCGATTCGCGCACTCCACTTACGCCAACAAATGTATTTTAATGAGGACTTAATACCTCATCTTAATCATCTCACGACACGCATTATCAAACGCTCGAATGCGGCGGTAACATGGTGCTTTCACTGCAGAATGTAGGTATATGGGTGATTCCTAGATCCGCGGACAAATCTCATCCAGGGAGACATATTCAGACGTTAATTGGCGTATTGTAATTCGTTCGCTTAATCGCGTCGACGCGATCGCAGTTTCCAGGCTTCTCGGAAATTATGTTACATTCCTCGACCCCGCTGCGACGGGCAAAGAGAAAATCATCGTTGCACCGTTATCGTGAAACAATAACAGAGCCGAGCATGAAAATGGATCTGTCGAACGGGAAAACGAATTAACTCAAATTACACTTTTCTCATTACTTTTTCAGAATATTCCTTTGTGCTTGTATTTTTTGTGATACTATCAAAATTAATATTCTTTGATCAAAATGATGCAGAATATTTCGCATCTGTCGCATAAAATTGAGGGCGAAATTATAAAGTTTCAAACTAATTTTTAAAGCAGTGCAGAATATATGGGTGCATAGAGGAGGGGGAGTTAGGTTTCACGAGTTTCATTTATATATTTATCACGCGAGAAAAACGGTGGAAAATGAATCACAAAATATTCATTTTGAAGTCTAAGTGTTTTTCAATGTGTTTTATTAAGACCAGAAAATATTGCAATTTAGAAAGTGAAAAATTTTACTTATAAAATTAAGATTGAAAAGCAAATTAAAAAATTAAATTTAAAATTTTTGCAAAGATTTATATCAATCAAATTAATTATGAAGATCATTGTGTTTTATATACAGACACATAATGCTGTCTTGTTACCACCAAACCAAAAGTAATTAATAACATTATTTAAAACAGAGAGATTTAAAACAGATCTCTCTATTCGGAGAAAAGAGAGAACTCTTCGCATCTTAATATACGTGTTTATTGCAAAGTATATTATATCACTCTTGCGCAAAAAATTATTGTCGACTTGAAGTGAGAAAGCAAAAAGGCACTTCGGTCGCAGCGATACCAACCAGGATGTATTAGTCCGGACTCGGACGCGGGGCCGCGATGCAGCAGGTCCTTGACGAAGATGCCCTCCCTCATGTTACCGCACACGTTAAAACCCAGTCCAGTGAAGTCACGACTACGCAGGCTGACTACGCTGACCCTGGTGGCCTTGGGCTAAAGCAACAAAACGAACGGCCGATTGTTACACGGCTGATGAAAACGCTCAACGGGAGCTGCATTATCGCGCGCGTGCATGTGTGTCTGCCTGCCTGTCCGTCTGTTTGTGTGGGTTCCCGTACACGAATGTACGTGCGCGTGTGTATGTGTGTGGGTCGTGTTCCTCGACTCGTGTGGACTCGCAACGGCGTCGTGAATGCGATCCCAAGTACGAACGTGGTTCAAGTCGTCGACGTGTGACGATCAATGGACGGGAACCGCGACGATGACAAGCTAATAAGCCACGGGCAAGTGGACGAAGGAGATACGTCATATTCTTATGAAAGAGGGAGTCATGCCCATTGACGAGTTATCGTGTTTTGTCATTCCCGTCTCTGTCACATCCGGAAACATTGCGATCGACAACGAATCTGCCCTAATAAAAATGTGGGTTCAACTGTTAGCTCAATTGACACAACAAAGATATTTTACTTCCTCGGTTATACTCTTATTTTTGTTTTTCCTTTTAATATATGCTGTAGAATGAATATTTTTAATAGCGACATTTTTTATCAGATTACATTTTTCTATCAAATTCTCATTAAAAAGCGAAATTGGAGTTTAAAACCCGAAAACTAGAAATCTAACGAAAGTTATAACTCGAAAAACGAGAGCTCATCTCTCTCACCAATTTATGCAGATTCTACGTTCTTGGAATTAATTTGATAAGATTGTTCGTTTTTGGAAAAAGCGTTTTTCACAGTCAGAAAAAGCGTTTTTCTGATCAGATCGTAAAGGTTCATGAATGTTACGTATCGCCTTCGTTCACTTTACTCTTTTCAATCGTCACGTGACCGGTGTCGCGTGACCTGCAAGAGCTACCGTGTTTGACACTTCCTCGGGTTCAGATACGGGATTTATCGTTCATCTGGCATAATAACGCCGATAATCTTCAATTAAAAGTCACCACGCGACAAGCTGTCGCGCCGACACACGGGCTATATATTTGCACAGATAACATTATTATCGGATTACGTTAGTTATATCGATTTCGTGTGGAAAGAATTGACGTGAAGAGAGTTAAACTACTGAAACTCGCTATTTTTAGAAATGATACGAGAGAAACGCGCGATTCAGCCGTCGATCTAAATTCGCTCAAATGAATAAATCACACTTGTCTTTGGTAAACAAGAAAGAAAAACGACTCGATAAACCGACAAAATGTCCGAAACGCTGAATAACTCATTAAGTAAATCAATATCTTAAACAAACTGCTCAATTCCTCATTTTTCCACGATCAAATTAGCAATTCTTCAATTTCTACTTTTACACCGCAACATTCGCGCCACTTTGATCACTGTTTTTTTTTGTCGTGGACGAAGTAAAAAGTAAAACTGCATGAGACAAAATAGAATGAAATGTAGGATTGCTGAACAGGAACAGCATTAACTGTATCCTCACCAAAAGACAACGTGTCGGACGCGATGAGATTAGCTTTTCAGATAGTAAAAACTCTTTTAACAGACGTCTCGAAGACGTCTAGACGATGTCTAAAAGACGTCTGAAAAGGTAGGACATTCCTCAGGCGTCAGGTAGGACATTCAAGACGTCTTTTAGAAGCGTCTGCTACCTAAGTTCCTGTCTAGGAGAAATTGACAATCAGATAAGGAGATCTTACGCCGACGTAGGAATCATCGAGTGTCCGGCGCTTGTCGTTGCGGATGGCCGATCCGAGACCCAGGGAGGTCCAAGGTGTGGACCATCGCGTGGAATCCTTGGCGGGTGTGTCGCCAGGCACAGCCGACAACGGTCTCTCCGTGACGCGACCGACCGCGGGCGTGGCATCCTTGAAGCAAGGATTGTCGAAGGCGTACGCATCCTCGACGATCTCGGGATCCGTCACCAGCACCAAGTGCTTACCTGCGACAACGGAACGTTACGTGACTTATTAGGTCAAATACAGGTCACGATGACTGCGATAGCTGCACGGAGATAATTTTGTTTTTTTAGCAGAATCGTTATTGCTATTGCATATTCATAGTGACATCAAAAAAATTTAGTTGACGTAACTAATTTTACAAATTATTCGTTATCTGAGCAGAAATAGTTTCGTTGCCAGAATAGAAAAAATTTGTTGAGTGTAAGATGTTTTCCCTAAGAATCATCTTAATTTGCTATTGATAATGTATGCAAAATAATGTATTCTTAGCAAATTTATTTGCTATCGGAGCAAAACTGCAACTGCTTATATAAATCCATCGTGGTTCTTATAGCAAAATAATTCGTAGACTTAGCAAATAGTGATTAGTACTTTTAGCAAACCTTTTTGCTGTCCATATAATAACGAAAAGATTTTGCTTGATCAGCAGAAAATTTGCTGGGCCAGCAAATTATTTTTCTCCGTGTGAGGGAATATTTGCGGAATGTGATACATAGTAGAGATGAGCACGGAAAAAATTAATTTTGCTCTTTTAGAAAAATCGTCGTTGCCACTGCATATTCGTAGTGACATTAAAAAAATTTTGTTGACGTAACTAATTTTACAAATTATTCGTTATCAGAGCAGAAGTAGTTTCGTTGTCAGGATAGAAAATATTGTTGAGTGTATTTGTTCTAAAAATCACGTTAATTGGCTACTGATGCAAAATAATGTATCCTTGACAAGTTTATTTGCTATCGGAGCAAAACTGCAACTGCTTATATAAACCTATCGTGGTTCTTATAGCAAAATAATTTGTAGATTCAGCAAATAAGCTTATATAAACCCATCGTGGTTCTTATAGCAAAATAATTTGTAGATTCAGCAAATATCCAGCAAATAGTGATTAGTACTCTTAGGGTCGGTTTATCCAACCTCTTGCTAAGCTAACTAACAGTTAAATCTTATGTCTGTTTCTACCTAATTTAAAGGAGAAACAAAGACAGACGTATGAGTTAACTGTTAGTTAGCTTAGCAAGAGATTGGAAAAACTGGCCCTTAGCAAATCTTTTTACTGTCCATATAATAACGAAAAGATTTTGCTAGATCAGCAGAAAATTTGCTGGGCCAGCAATTTATTTTTCTTCGTGTGAAATCACTTGATACTTGATCAATCCCAATATTCCAGCCGTCTTTAATTTTTATTCTCAGTTCCAACGGCTGCTGCGTCATGCTGACTTGTGGTATGGACACGGAAAAGAATAATTTGCTGCAGCAGCAAACTAATTTACTACATATGGACAGTTAAATATAATTCGCTGTGTTAGCTATTTTTTCTTTGCTGCAGGAACCTACTTTCTTGCTATAATAACAAGAAAGTCTACTTCTACAAAAGTGGCTAACGTAGCAAATTTGCTACAGATGGACAACATGATTTACTGATTTAGCTATTTTTTTTTGTTGCAGAAGCAGATTTTCTTGTTATCATAGCAAGGAAAAAAAATGGTTAATACAGCAAATTATGTTTAGTTGTCTAAAAATTAATTTTGCTCTTTTAGAAAAATCGTCGTTGCCACTGCATATTCGTAGTGACATTAAAAAAATTTTGTTGACGTAACTAATTTTACAAATTATTCGTTATCAGAGCAGAAGTAGTTTCGTTGTCAGGATAGAAAATATTGTTGAGTGTATTTGTTCTAAAAATCACGTTAATTGGCTACTGATGCAAAATAATGTATCCTTGACAAGTTTATTTGCTATCGGAGCAAAACTGCAACTGCTTATATAAACCTATCGTGGTTCTTATAGCAAAATAATTTGTAGATTCAGCAAATAAGCTTATATAAACCCATCGTGGTTCTTATAGCAAAATAATATGTAGCAGATCCTTTTTTTTCCGTGTTCTTTTTCCGTCGGGAAAAGAATATATGTCAATCAACGTGATGGCGTGCGAAGAGTCCGATTAAATATAAAGGGTCCAAGAAATACTTTGGGCACAAAAATCGCCGTAATGAAACACTTATTCAAGCACGGGATTGTCAAAACAGACAAAAAAGAAGTTACGTCATGTCGCGTCTGTCGCTAACCGTCACTGCCCGACATCAAACAGCTGGGTGATGACAACAATCCATACTATCAAAACATTGACTTTCGAGGCGATCAAACTTACACTTTTTGCGTCACGAAATTTCCCGAGTGTTTCCATTATGTTCCGGGCCGGCGACTGATACGTATACCGCGGAGTGCGCGCCATTTTTCATTTTCCTCGGGCGATCGAAATACTTGGTCCGTGAAATGCGAGATCGAGTCCTCGTCGGCGTCGCGTTATTTGATACGTGCATTTTCAATCGAATCGTATCTGCGCGAGTGTCAGTGATAGTGTCAACGTCACGACGGAGCAGCCAGGATGAAGGATGCAGGAAGGACCGAGATGGGGGCAGCAGTGATACATCGTGTCTCATCTGTCACCAGGTGTGTTGAATCATTTATCGTGCAGAAATGTCCGTTCTTACTTTTTTAGGGATAAATTTTTAAAAATCAGAAGAAAACGATTTAACTCTAGAACTTTAAACATGGATAAAATTTATCCAACCTTTCAAACGTAATCGATCTTAAAAACGTGTTTTATTTTCCCAACTTCATTGAAATATTAATATAGAGTTATGTTTTTCGATATTTACAATAATGATTAAAAAAAGCATTGGATTTTGATCAGTTTTACGGAAGCAAATGAAAATACGCTGGATTTTTATCCATGTTTAAGGGGACTGGAGGGTCAGATTGCCTGAAAATCATGCTTGTTCTTTCACAATTTTTTATGACAAGCTGAATAAATATATGAAAGTATTATTTTACGTGTATTTATACAACGTATAAATTTTATTTATACGTATTTATTTTACGTGTATTTATACAACATATAAAGAGAAGAAAAATATAATTTTGATGATTAAATACTCAATATAAGCATATGTAGTTAAAATATATTTCGTTTTTTTTTTCAAGGTCGTCATTTTGCAGTAATATCTTGACTGTCGGTGGTTCAATTAAGCTGAATTTTAGGTAGAAAATTTCCGTAAGCTTGTCGTTATCGTGTGAACCACTGACAAACTCGTGAAAATATTTAATTTTGAAATATTAATTTTTTTACTGTAAAAAACTGAAAATTTAATAATATTCTATTAAGATATTTGCAATTTTAACTTTTACTCAATTTCTATTATAGTGGTTCACATAATAACGACAAACTTATGGAAATTTTCTACCTAAAATTCAGCTTAATTGAACCACCGAGAGTCAAGATATTACTGCAAAATGACGATCTTGAAAAAAAAAACGAAATATATTTTAACTACATATGCTTATATTGAGTATTTAATCATCAAAATTATATTTTTCTTCTCTTTATATGTTGTATAAATAACACTTTCGCAAATTCATTCAGTTTGTCATAAAAAATTGCGAAAAAACAACGATTTTCAGGCAATTTGTCTGTCCAATCCCCTTAAGGGTTACGTAACTTCTTGACGTTTAGGATTAAAAATGACATAAACATGAGATGTTAATCACATGACGAGATTTCTCTTCTTCTCGTGAAATCTTGCTATGAATACTTTTTCACAGTAATATTGCTTGTGTTTGGTTCAGAATGTTTGAATTGAAAAAGATGAATAATTGTATCAAACGTACACGCGTAATGTGCCAGCATTCCCGTTAAAATGGAACGAGAACGGAACCTAAGCTAAGAATCTGAATGGAACTCGACTCGAAGAAACGTAAAATTGACGTTTCCCCCGGCGTTCGTTGCACAAGCTTTCTTTCTCCCGCGAGTACGGCCGCTCCCGTTGCCACACATCGCGAAAGTTCCGCTCTCGCGACGCCGTCGTCGTCGTTGTTGTTGTCGCCGCCTTCGACGGCGCGTTTCCACTTGGTTGCGGCGCATGAATGGAATTGGAATCGCGATATGACTCATTTTGCAGGGAGCGCGCAGAGAGTACGTACTTATAAAACATCGCGGCGCGATCGCGCATCTCCGATCACGTTGTTCGCGCGTTCATATACAGTGTACGTGTGTATCGGCAGGAAGGAAACGCATTCTTCGAAACCGCCCATGTCCCGCTATGCGTATCCGATATCAATCCGCGACCTGACCGTATTCAGGCATACGTTACACGTACTTGGGTGTCGGCCGGCCGCGCGTAATCCACGTATGGGGCACCTCGAGTTATTACCTCGCGCGTGAGTAGTATTTGATCCTCAAGGAGAATCCGTCCTTCGCAGAATTGGACACGCAACTACACCACAAGAGAAAATCCATCGAAATGAATCGTGTCAGATGGACTCAATTTCAAAACCGTATAATCGACAGCGAAATCGTCGTAACATATTTTTCTCTTTTCAAGTGAAATCTTTTCAGAGAAATCTGTTTTCTCAGAAGATAAATTTGCCGATTGAATTTTCCTATATATCTCCCTATTAGATAGAGTTTTCCCATGATGCGTGCACCGAGGTGAAAGTGCAACCTTTCACCGACTGTCCCAATTCTTTTTGCCAAAATCTCTAGTGTTCTTTGAAACTCTAGCCCATGCAAAACGAGCTCGAAACTTTGCGCAATGTACTATGTTTTATTATAATTTATACATTATTTATATTCGTAACAGTGGCAGTCTATTCCCGAACTACTAAAACCATATTGTAATTTTTCCTGCAATATTCTCTCCGTGTAGACATTTCTTTTCTCAGAATGTTATGGCTATTAAAACAAGCAAAAAAAAATATATATTTCTTGATATCCGAATATGAGTGGAATAATATTTTTCTAAGAATTTCTCCGAATATCACGCCAGTCTTGATTACTCCAAGTCGTTAATTTCAAGCGTTAATATCAATAAAATAGCCGTGGATTCTCGCTGAGCATACTCGGGTCCGCGCGAAAAGGTCAAGAAACTCGGACCGCCTGGAATGCAAACGCCGCGCGCGGGCATTTATCGCGGATTTTGTC